GGGCTAGGCGAGCCTTGCCTGGTGGATCTAAGTGGCCCGGCTCCTCTCCTGCCGTCCGAAATGTGTCTGAATCGGTCTGCACCGATTCAGGGTATCCAATAATTACTAATGCTGATGGCGTCTTTATTAGTAACGCTAATCATGCATGCTAATATAATAACCCTTTGCATGCCGCTTCTCCCCCGGGGACGGATACCGCGGGTCGCAAAATGAGATTAAGCATAAACTAGGGATATATATACTGGGTTACGACGGTGAGGAAGGCAGTAAAATTTCGTCTCACGCGATGCACTGACGAAACCATAATGTGGTTTTGGTTCAGCATGTTGTGCAAACCCGGCCAACTGTCATTTATTCAATAAGCCATGGATAAACCAAGCTAATGAAACCTCGCTTCTTTCTCAGCCTAATTGCTACGTTTGCAATGAAACACTTTTCTGTAGATTGCAGCCTTAAATGGTTAGATTAGTCCAAACATTTAAATCGATTTAAAAGGTCTTGCCATTATTAATGAAACAAATCTACACATTTAATTGGTATTTCCTTTCCTATATGGGAAAAAGAAATGCTTTTTTATTTTTGGTTACTGTTATTTGCTGGGTTAATCTTAGCAAAGCAGGCTGCCTTTCCTTTAATCGTTTTTCTCATATGCAAAATACAGTGGCAATGTGTTTGAGATAAAAGAAAAAGAGAGAGGATCACAAATGAATGGAGGCTGAGGTGCTTTGGTGAGGATTGAATTGCAAAACAAGTATATAAAGGAAGAGGTTAGAGGGGAAAAGGAAGAGAAAGTCATACAGTAGTTGGATGGAGTAGATAAGGTCTTCAAAAAGAAAATGGTGAGAAAGTTTGAAGAACAAAAGGCCATATATGAATTAACGTTTAGGTATGTTGGAAGAATGAGTTGCAAGGATAGAAAGAGATGAAAATGTCCCTTACTTCATAAAAGGGATGGAGAAAAAGTCAAGAAATTACAGACCTCTCCGTATTCTGGTCCTGGACCAGAACATTAAACAGCATGTTTGTGAGCACTTGCTTAGGCCTCCAACAAGTAACAAAAGCCAGCACAGGTTCGTCACAAATCATGCCAGACTATTTCCTATTTTGACAGTTAATAGATTGGGGGAATGTTGTAGAAACAGTATATCTTGACCTCTGCAAAGCATTTGACAAAGTCTCTCCTGAGGACACCCTCATTAATAAAATGGTAGAATATGGGCTAGATGATACAGCTATATTGGATGATACAGCTAGATTGGATGAATGAGAGTGCTGTTATATGCAGAGTTCTGTTCTTAGCCCTGTGCAGTTTTATTACTGATCTGGATAAAGGGGGTAGGCGGATGATTACAAAATCTGCAGAGGACACAAAATTGGGAGTAGTGGCTAACACACGGGAAGACAAAAAAGGTTCAAAAAGGAGTCCTGTATCTCAGGAGAAAAAAAAAAAATGAGGCACAGGTACAGAATGGGGGAGATTTGGTTTGGCAGTAGTACATGTGAAAAGGAGCCAAAAGTGTGATGCAACTGCTAAAAAGGCAAATGCTGTTTTGAAATTATTGACAGAAGCATAGAATCCAGATCATGGGAAGTAAATATCTCACTCTAATCTGCCTTGGTCAGGACCCACTTGGAATACTAAGCCAAATTCTGGGCACTACAGTCTAAAACAGACTTCAATAAACTGGAAAAAGTTCAGATGAGGGCTATCCAAGAAACAAAGTCCAATGAAAAACAGTTTTTAAAAAATGTATGTTTAATTTGCAGAAAAGAAAACTGAAGAGAGATATGATAGCAGTCTTCAATTTTTAGACATCTAAAGGACTGTCATAAGGAAGTTATGGACTTGTTCTTTGCAGCTCCTCAGGGCAGAACTAATAGAATAAAACTAGAGAGAAGCAGATTCAGGTTGATATGAGAATTAACAAAAATGTTTATAATAGATTTTTTTAAAAATTAATAGATGTATATAGCTTGTTTCCCATACCTGTCTCTATTTCTACTGAAAGAGTATAAACGTTTGAAATCTTACTTGGGAATCTAACCCATTAAAGATAAATATGAATCTTAGTTGGGAGTAATCATCCACAGGATGGGTCATACACTATCTAGGTACCTTACTGAATTGAAGTTGGACTTCTGAGACTGTCTAATCGTATTTACAGAGGAAATCATGAAAAGCGGGTGTCTGCAAAGGATAAGTCTACACCTGTATTGTACAGCTCCATGCATATATTTTCTGGGCAGTTAGTAACCTGATCAATCCGGCTTCATCGTGTGGAATAGAATTAATCAGGCCTAGAGCTGTACATATGTAGCCTTTCCCTTGGAGACCTGTATTTAATGTGTTGGCACAGAATATGGCACCGTGCCCAATGTCAAGAACAGAACTGAGAGAACCAGCCAAGCTTTGTCTTCCACTCGTTGCCCTAAGCATGGTGGAACGTGTTAATAGAGATTAAGAGTGTGAAAATGTTTGACTTAGGCAGAGCTCTCATTGGTCCATCAAAAGGAAGGCATAATCAACTATGGAGGGAATAAGTATTTTTAATCAGCTGCAGTACAGTCTTGCACGTTTACTTGGATGCAAGGCCCATTTATTGCTATTGGCTAAAACTGAAGTCTTAGGGAAGTATTTATATGTGTACAAATCTCCACCACACTCATAAAAGTATGACCCGGTGCCAGGCACATACACTAAGCCTTCCCAATCTCAGAAAAAATGTTTTCATGATAAAGGAGAAGGGATGTACAGTGCCAAAGCTTCTTTTAAACAAAAAATATCCCCACCATCCTGATGAGAGGTAAATTAAATCCCCTGAGTTCATAAGACAATAGTAAAAAACACATAGCCCCAAGGAATATGTGAGAAAATGATTTAAAATTGTCTAATGCTGCAGTCGAATGCTTCAAAAAAGCCACCGTACAGCTAAAAGTATTCCATTTAACCTCATAGGAGGTTTGGTCTTGTTGCATCAAAATAGGTTGCAACATCCAAAATGCAATGCTACCTTTTATACAAGTGTTTTCTAAGCAGAAGAAAAAAGTGGGGAAACTGATAAACAATTAGGACCTATATTTAACAACAAAGGGGATCAACAACTTTATGCACGTATATATTAACGGGTGTTGGCTCACCCAAGGGGTCTGACTTAGATCCTAGAGGAAACTATTTTGAATTAAATTAAACAAGGTAAATAAATGCTGTGTCCTGCAACAGGCTAGTTCCCTGAAATATGCTTCGATACTCCACAACAACTGTGTGCTTCTCGCACAAAGCAAGAATCATCTGGGAAGGCCTTGATCCATTAACATTTGTAACACATAATAATAATAATTTTCTTCTTGCCTTTCTTGTAGCATTACACTGTATGTGACGTGGAAGACTGTCATCTCTCTCTTACTGGCAAAGCTTCAATAAAGACTTAATAATGCCCACTAGCTTGCATTCCATATTCTCTGGAACCAATATGGTAGAAACTGCTTCTCTACGCTAGGAGTAACTTGACAGACTACACTGCAGAGCACCTTTGCTGCATCATATCTGCCAGAAGTGGTGGAGAATGGCACCATATTGTCTGCAAACAGATCTGCATTTTGAAAAACAAGGCTGTTGTGTTGGGACTATTTGTTTATCCATCTGTGGGCAACAAATCAATCAGTTTAGTAGAATTCATGTCCAAAATTAATTGCGTGCCTTAGAAGCCAATACCTGCAGCTAATGTAAATGTATTTGTAAAATGTTTCACACCTGAGCTAAGTCCTAATAACCAGGGATAAGTAGGGAAAAAATACCCATTACAAGACTTTTGGGTCTAACGTTCATGGACGCTCTACAGGATTCTCGTTCTAGGTAGCGCCAAGAGAACACCTTTAAAACATTGTAGTACCAAAAATGACAGAATGCAACACTACATGTTGGGAGAACTAGTGTTTCAAATGCTACGTTGCAAATTAGTGTCATTTCACTGTAATAGGTCTGGTTCCCCTGCAATGTTCATAGTCCAGAGATTAATTCTACAGATATTCTAGGAAAGCCACATTTGACCCAACCAACAGATGGCCAGAAACTACTGGCGTTAATCCCCCGTTTTGCGAAAGGGAAGGAGAAAAGATTCTAGATTGGGGGGGGGGATTCCAGATCGTGATGAATGCGGACGGTGTTCCACCCTGATTTTGTGTGGCAGCCGCCTCAACTTGCAGGCACCTGTTTGCTGGGTTCTCCTCTTTTTCTGATCCAGCCTGAGCGAGCTTCCCAGACCGCCATCTCGTTCACGGAATGCCCAAAACGGACGGAAAGCAATGCTATGCATTGAGCAAGCATGTTCAAGACACACTGGACAAGTTGCCAAGAAAAGAAATTAGACGAACACTGAATAATTTTTTAAAAAGGGGGGGGGGGGACCTAAACAGCTGAACCTGGCCGTTTTCTGACATGGGGTAGGCTGGATGGTAACCACTTGTAGCAGCAACGTATCAAGCGAGCGGTCTG